AATGTCTGAACTAAGTGGAGTTTACTTGTATATATTTTAGAGTTAAAAGTTTTGCTTCATATATATTTTTTTTACAAAAAATATGTCTTTCACCATAGATTTATACCAGGATGTATTAGGGAGTTTATTTTAGTAAAATTTAATGTAATGAACAATAAATAGAGAAGTACAAAGATAAGATAGGAACTAACACTGGGGTAAGCAAATTGATGATTTTATTATGAATATTGACACTCACAAGGATTGCATATAATTCACAAAATTTGGATGGTTTACTTCATTCAATTTTGTATTTCAGTTTCAAAAAGTATCAACAAGAAATACTGTTGACACTCAAAATAACGTGTTCATAAATTATAGTGATAGAAATTGCTATTAATCAATAATTGCATTTGTTAGTACAGCATATTTTCTTTTAATAAAATATTATATAGTTAATACATTAACTTCTTATTTAGTGAAAACTGGAATTAATGAAGTCTTTCACCATTGCTTGCTTTCAGGGAATAAATAGTATATTGAAAGCCAAGCAAAATATATATATATATTATTTTAGCTATGAAATAACTTACACAAATTGACCCCCTAAACCTCATTATGAAAAAAATATGAAATTCCTTAAGTTGAACACAAATTGACTTTATATCCCTTTGAAAATGTTAAAATTTATGTGATATTTATTCATTTTTTCATAAAAAGAAATTAACTTTAAGGAATAAAAGATTAGCAATCTATGTAATATAATCTGAAAAACACTGCAGTTCCTATACACAAGTATGTATACATAAGTTATTTATAAGTAAGAAGATCTGAGAAAAGGTCTTGTCCCAATTACTCTACCATTCTTGACAAATCTTGTCAGTGTAAGGTCATTTGTTACAAATACAGATGTGTTTGTAAGAATTACTAAAATTGAAAGAAGGAAGTTATAGGGAATCTGATTCCTGTTACACACATTTCAGCTTGTAAATGAGATCCATATTATTTACTTTTATAATTTCATCTTAAAACTGTAATGAGATCGATCAAAGAATGAATTAATGGGATAATTTTTTTGAAAGAATATTTTTAAAAGTTATTTTCAAATGCTGTAATTATTCCATATCTCATAACATAAAACTTTTTGTAAATATTATCTACAAAGAGTAAGTAGATTATATTCTTTATACTTGTGTTTAACAACTTTTTAAAGTACATTTTGCATAACAAAAACTGTCATATTCAAGCCAGAAAATATATCTTATATTTTATTTCATATATATGTTATTTAACAGACAAACCTTCTTAACAGTGAATATTTTCAAAACAGGAAATTTATATCTATATAAAACCAACAAGCCCCCAAAATCCTTGTAATAATTGTTTCTTAACTAGTCTAAAGTTATTAAACCTAGTGAGGCTTCAGTGTTAGCACACTCTTGAGTCTACCTGTAATTTCTTAAAGAAAATACATCGTCAAATATTTAAGTAAAATTTTAAAAACTGAAGTTACAGAGAAACTCGACAATACCAAGGTTAATGAGCTGACTCATATACCTGTAAACACATCTGAACAAAAGCTATATTTTTTTGTCAATATCAGGAAAAGAATCAAAGAGAAAGGAATTGAGAAGATGGTATAACGTAGACTGACAATGCAGTGCATTATTACTTGTGACATCCACAGCCAAATAAAGAAACTTCATGTATATTAACAACAGGAAATAATACAGTGGTATACTAATCACCCTAATAGTGGACCTTGCCTTACAACAGTTTGCAATGATAACAACAGAGCAAAGGATTCAAATTGGAGTACAGTATATTAAGTATGCAATGTTGCAAGCATATCACATTACACTGTATGTGTGAAACAGAAAAGGCAAATGACTTATTTTCATCTTTAAACTTGTCTTTATGAATTCTCTTAGGATTGCCTTTCATTCACATATTAATAAATGCTTTCTGATGCATGCATTTAATCTTTATGACTAAGGGCTGAGTACAGTAAAATATGAAAATATGAAATGTCCCATAGAACCTTCAACTGATACTCTATTATTATTATTATTATTATTTTAATCAAGATAATGATAAAAAAATGATCAACCACTCAATCTATTATCAACATAAATAAAAACAGGGTGAAAGCAAACTCTTATTCTCTTACCATCTTGTGCAAATTCATCATGAAATGATCCTACAGGAAATAATTTATATGCACAGACATTCGAAACCGTGGGCAGTTCAGCAGCAAGCTTTTTCTGAGATACATCTTTCAGCCAAACTTAAATCAATCAATGGGCGCACTGCAGTTATTTAGCTGGGAAGCTGGGACAAGGAAAACAGATAGTATTTTTTTATTCCAATTTGGCACAATCAAAAGTTCAAGTTATTTACTTGTATGTTGACTGAAACGTTTAAGAAATGTTGCACGTTTTCTCACTAATATAATGATATAATAGGACTTAAAGACCAGAGAATTAGAGCTTAAAGTAAACTATATGTCTAGAGCACTGACATCAATATGTTAACATTCTAACATTTATCATAAACCATCTGCTGATTTTGATGATTGAAAAGCTTTAAAGAGGTTTAATCTGTATATGCTATAAAAACAGAGAAATGATATAGAAAGACATGTACATTTCTAAAATGATTTAATTAAAAAATCCTGCTGTCCATGACAGGTTACTAGACTTCTGGATTGACTTACTCACCACACACTGGAATATCATAACATAAATTGCAATAATCCTCTATACGTATATAAAAAAGAAGAAAAAGGAAACATATAAGCAAAACAGGGCCAGTCATCTTCATCATTACACTTACTCCCATACCAGTTACCCCGTCGTATGCTAACTGCGGTCTGCTTCGCTCAAATGCTTTCCTGTTTCTTAGATTCGTCAGGAGGAGGATAATAGCATTCCAAAACAATTGCCCATGACAACGTTAAATTAATTCCAAATCAGTTTTTTTTGGGATAGAGTGAATCATAAGTTGAAAAAGTAATGAGAGATTTAACATGTTTTAAAGTGAAGAGAGAGAGAGAGAGAAAAGAGAGAGACGAGAAAGAGAGAGAGAAAAGAGAGAGGAGAGAGAGAGAGACGAGAGAGGAGATAGAAGAGGAGAAGAGAGAGAAAGAGAAGAACAGAGAGAGAGGAGAGAGAAGAGGCACCGAGAGAGTGATGTGTGTGAGAGTGTGTGTGTTGTGTGTGTGTGTGTAGTGTGTGTGTGTGTGGTGTGTGTGATGTGTGGTGTGTGTGTGTGTGTGTGTGTGTGTGTGTGTGTGTGTGTGTGAGTGTGAGTGTGAGTGTGAGTGTGTTTATGTGCATGTGCGTGTGTGTATTTGTGTGTGTGCGTGTGAGTGTGCACGCGCATGTGGGTGTAGGTTCACTGAATTGCATAAATAAATATAACAAAAATATAATCAGTCATGTAAAGATCCTTAATTCAAATAGAAATTCAAAGACAGGGTTACATAATTTATGAAGAAAGAAAGTAATTTTCCCTTTCCTTAAAGGCGAAACAAGAGAAAGCGTCTTGACAGAGGGAGACTTTGCACCCTGTTGTGAAGGACAAAAAGCCTGTTCTGAAATGACTCAAAACACTTCTCAACTGATATATATAAATATATAGAATTTGAGACTGAAACATATTTACACCAATAAGAGTTACATACATTATATACAATGATAATGATAAATCTCTTGACCAAGACCCTATCACAGCACTATTTTACCAAGTAAACTCTGCCACTAAACATTTTATTTGCCAATCTATATTAAAAGAAAAAAAGAAAAAAAAAAAAAGTACAATATAATTTTACACATATCTAATTCCACTAAGTAGTTATACTATACCTATATTATATTCACCTTATCAAAATGTAAATCTTTCCCTCAAG